TGCTGCGCAAGGGGAAGACTGTGGTGTAACGCGAGTAGTCGTCAACCACCAGCAGGAAGTAGCGCTCGTGACCCTGCCCACGGACGCGGGCCGGGCCCCACACGTCCATGTGAAGCGTCTGCAGAGGAGCCTCTGTCGGGGGAAACTGGGAGGAGTGAGGGGCAGCCCGGAGCCGCCCCTCGACACAGGGGACACAGGAAGGTCCGGGTCCCGAAGGAAGGGGAGGGAGAGACCGGGGAAGACCAGAGACAAGGACACGGGAAGCCATGCCCCGAAGACGAGGCAAGGAGGGGTGGCCAAGACGGTGGTGCCACAGGAGAGTCTCCTGAGACAGGCGGCGACACGAGCAGGGGGCAGACTCAGGACCAGACCTGGACGCAGCAGCAAACACCTGACCCGACGCAGCTACCTGGCCAGACGCAGGGACAGGAGGAGACTCAGTGGTCAGGGTGTAGAGACTCGACCCCGGCCGACGCGAAAACGTGGCCAGGTGTCGGCCTGTGCGGGCGTTCGAGCAGTGGGTCACCCGCTGACTCGCAGGAGTAAACTGGTGAACCCCCGCATCCTGCAGGTCAGCACCACTCACCAAGTTCGTCGAGAACGAGGGGAGGTACAGACCAGACAAGGTGCCCGAGGGGGCAGCCGGACACGGGAGGACAGTGGAGAAGTGAGAGAGGACAGGACCCCCAGAGGGGTCAGCCAGGGAGACTGGAACCGGCCGGCCAAGCGGCGTGAGTGTGGTGCGGTCTCGAAAGAAGGAGCGAGAAGCCCCTGAGTCAAGCGTGAAGGTGAGGGAGGCCGAAGCCGACGCAGTACCTGAGAGCGCAGCCTCACCAGTACCTGAGAGTGCAGACGCACTGGCACCTAGAGCAGCAGCCGCAGAAGTACCTAGCGCAGCAGTACCAATGCCCGGGTCGGGCGGGAAACACCGGTAACAGTCACCCTCCTCACTAATAGTCACAGCATACATGGCAGCAAGGATAGCATCAAAGTCAAGATCAAAGATAGCTACGCCAGCCCTAGACAGCTCTCCCCAACGGGGAATCTCACTAGCCTCGGGGAACTGCTGACGCCAAGCGTCCGTCAGGCGGCCAAAGCAGCGCTGGGTGGGGTGGGCACCCCCACACTGCTCACCCGCGCGGTCGCCGGAACGAAGGACGTAGGTGCACGGACCAAAACCCCCACCCCGCTGACGCTGCGTGTACCACTCACGGAGCTGCTGGGGCGGGGGGATGTCCCGCGAACGCTGCTGCTGCTGCTGCTGCTGACGCTGGCCACCACCAGAGCCGCTACGCTGCGGGGCACCACCCCGACCAGCTCCACCCCCTCCGCCACCGCCGCCTCCACCTCCACCACCACCGCTGCCTCCGCTCCCACCGCTGCCGCCACCACCGCCTCCTCCTCCGCTGCTGCCACCGCCACCACCGCCCCCGCCACCACTCCCACCGCCACCCCCACTCCCTCCGCCGCCTCCACCGCCACCTCCACCGCCCCCGCCAGTTCCACCCGCGCCCTTGCCCCCCTTGCCCCTGCCAGGGCGGCGTCTCCCGCTAGGGGCAGACGCCGCGCAGACCGACTCAAGACCAAGCAGGTCGGCAGCAGCAGCAGAGGCAACAGAGGGCAGCAGGGGGGAAGGAGAACACCCCTCAAAGATGGGGGTGCGAGGGTCACCACGAGAGGCTCCTACAGCGACGATGCTCTTCTCCGCCGCCAGGAGGGACTTCTCGAGGAGGTCGACAGTGAGAGTGGTGGGACAGACTGAGAGGAAGTGGTCCCTGACTACGCGAAGGGAGTCAGGGAGGCGTGTGACTATGTAATAGAGAGTGATGTACATGGGGGGGGGGTTCTTGGCGCAGAACTCAGCAGGAAGGGCGGCGCGGTAGCGAGTGTCACTAGTGCGGAGGTGCGTAATGAGGTCAGCGACAGTGGGAAAGGCAGCAAGGTCAGGAAAGAGGTACGGGAGCATGAGGCGGCTCAGGGCAGCAGTGGCAGGGGAAGAGTAGCGCGCAACTACAGCGTCGTACAAGGTCTGAGCACTCTTGTACTGACTAAAGTGCGCGCGCTCAGTGGTAGGCAGGTGGCGACGCACAGCAAGACGTGCAGCAGCATCGCGGGTGGCCCACTGAGAGCGAACAGTGGGGTCAGCATCAGCAGCAGGGGCAGGAGAGGCGCCAGAGGTGAGGTCAAAGAGGGAAAGACCGTCCGCCCTATCGCACTGTAAGAACAGCTGCAGGTCGTCGACCCAGACCTCAAAGTCAATGGCTCGACCCTCAGCGTCAAAAGCGAGGACACTAGGGGTAGCCATGACGACGACAGTGTAGTAGTGCAAGCAGTAGGGGAAGGGCACGCAGTAACAGTGGTGCTGTGCTCACCAGGCAGGGCAGGTCGGGCGGCTCGGCAGTAGGGCGGCCCGGCGGCTGGGCGGCTCGGCGGCTCGGCTGCTGGGCGGCTCGGCTCCCGGGCGGCTCGGCGGCAGGGCGGCTCGGCGGCAGGGCGGCTCGGCGGCAGGGCGGCTCGGCGGCTCGGCTCCCGGGCGGCTCGGCGGCAGGGCGGCTCGGCGGCAGGGCGGCTCGGCTCCCGGGCGGCTCGGCTGCTGGGCGGCTCGGCGGCAGGGCGGCTCGGCGGTCGTAGGCGGCGGGGCCGGTGAGGATAGGCGGCGGGGCCGGTACCGTAGGCGGCGGGGCCGCGAAGTGGGGCGGCGGGGCCGCGTAGGTGAGGGCGGCGGGGCCGCGAAGTAAGGGCGGCGGGGCCGCGACGTGAGGGCGGCGGGGCCGCGAAGGTGAGGGCGGCGGGGCCGCGTAGGCAAGGGCGGCGAGGCCGCGACGTGAGGGCGGCGGGGCCGCGACGTGAGGGCGGCGGGGCCGCGTAGGTGAGGGCGGCGGGGCCGCGTAGGTGAGGGCGGCGGGGCCGCGACGTGAGGGCGGCGGGGCCGCGTAGGCAAGGGCGACGGGGCCGCGACGTGAGGGCGGCGGGGCCGCGACGTGAGGGCGGCGGGGCCGCGACTTAAGGGCGGCGGGGCCGCGTAGGTGAGGGCGGCGGGGCCGCGACGTGAGGGCGGCTGGGCCGCAACGTAAGGGCGGCGGGCTCGCGTAGGTAAGGGCGGTGCAACGGGCCGCTAGGGGCGACACGGAGGGTCGCTAAAAAAAAAGGAAAGCGCGCCTCGGGGCGCGCTTCGGTGGGCCCTAGAAACAGTCCCTAGGAGGGGACCTGCTCTGATTCCATGTGGAAAGAAGAACGTGAATGGATGAACTATGACTGAAGTGAGTACATATAGGAAACCCTAATTGGGTTGTACCCCCTATGGGATACCCCACTATAGCCTACACAACAGCATAAGCTATATAATGTTCTGACAGTGATAGAGATAACGAAAGACTTTGACGAGACGATGGATACGCGGCAGCGCCACCTCGAGTGCCGGCGAAAGCCCGTGCTGTCCGATTTTCAACCACAAGCTCTCCGGCTTCGACTTGACTGCCTGCGAGAAGGAGCTTATCTCGTGGGCACCTATCATGGAGGCGCATCATGAAGAGGAGGGCTTCTACGAGGGCCTCCGCAACTTCATGAACTCAGCTGAGGCTACAAACGTGTTGCTTATCTCAGCACCTTCTTCACATGCTGATGCTCACACCCCTCCTCTGCTTTCCCCTTGCTTGGTGTTGGTTTTCCAGGCGCTGGCTGAACATCATGCGGATATGGCAAGCTACGGCTGTGATGCCCCTCTGAACAGTCGAGTGCGAGCGCGGCTTTTCGCGGCAGAATGTGACAAATTCCTGGGTGAGGGGCGCCTTGGGCAATGCGAGACTGGCAGAGCTGATGGCCATCTCGATGCTGGACTACGAGACTGAGTGGTCAGCAGCTCTTGCCAAATGGCGAGAGAAACCCAGGCGCCCTGCCAAGTCCCTTGTTTTCGCATCTGCAGAGAGGAAGTCCAAAGGGAAGGCCGTTGACGAGGAGAACGCACAGGAAAAGCAGGTGCACGGCCTTGTCTGGGAGCAGTCTGAGTCCGATGAGGATGGTGAAGAGGATGGTGACTATGATGTCGCAGACAACCCTTTTCTTTCAGACGATGAGGGAGATGCAGACGACGATGCCATTGAGATGGCTATGCCGGAGTTCTAGTCTTGTCGGACTGACTGTCTAAGGAGATAGTAGTTTTGCAGGTAGTCGTACTAGTGTAGTGACATTAGTGTGTGTGCATTGCCCTTGGCTTGGTGTTTAGCAGACTCTGATTTCGCCATGTGAATCTTGAGGTCTCCGACTTAGGTTTTTTCAAAACCTGAATATTCAGAGTAGTGTTTTTTTGGATAATATGTCTCAAACTAGAAGAGATTTTACCTCCCTAGAAATCAGACCGGTTTTTTTTTAACGTCAGCCCTGGTTTGATCCATGCCTCACCTGTTTTTGTGTGCTCATTTAGATCGTGTAAGGTGAATTTATAAAATCTTCCGTGTACCTGTTTCGGCTTCTAACATTTTATCGTTTCGCTTGCCGTTGCGTTCGCGCGGCAGCACATTGGTGCAGCTTGCTCTTCGCACATTCGTATCCCCGATTCAAGCAACAGAGGCTACCGCCTTGATTACTTTGGCAGTCTGACAGAATTACTAATCACCTCTGATTCGCACAAAAGCAGTGGGATATACAAGCAGGAGCTCACGCACGCACTATCCGTCACTACTACACGTCCAGCCTAGTCAACGGATATGGCTCATGAAGACATATCCAGATGCGTAAGCGCGTAGTCGTGAACTAGCAAAGATCCCATGATCTCGTATGCGCTCTCTCCACCTCCCCGTGTGACGGAAAAATGCGTATCAGCGATAGTTAGCCGAATGCAGTGAATCGGTTTAAATTAGCCTGAAGGGGCGGTAGACTAGTAGGACGATTCGACTCGCTAACAGGAAAACGCCGCGTGCCGCCAAGTTTTTTAACACGGAGTTAGTATCTCCGAGTTAAGCCTAGTTTTCGCCGTGTTAGCGCCGCGTTAGCGCGAGCCAATCATGTTCTTCCACGTGGTGCTGGAGAAGAAGCTCCAGCTGCACCCGCGGCACTTCGGGCCGCACCTTCGCGAGAAGCTCGTCTCGAAACTGGTGGCTGAGGTGGAAGGCACGTGCACGTGAGTATCGCGAAATGGGTTGAATAGAATGCACGTTCACGTGAATATAGCGAGGCGAGGACTATATCCCCATGTATCACACCCGTGAGGGTTATGGCACGGGAGGATATCAGGGTTTGAAGATGTGCGTGAGTACAGCGAGGGGGGTGGGCGGTATAGGGTTATGGTGTTAGTAACTAGAAAAAGTGGGGATTGTGGGTGGGGGCATTGTATGCAATGACACGGGGTCGACATAGGGGTGACACAGGGGTGATACAGGGGTGACACAGGGGTGACACAGGGGTGACACAGGGGTGACACAGGGGTGACACAGGGGTGACACATGGGTGACACGTGAATGAATGGCACGGATTGCATGAGCTGCACGGCCTTCTCTGTTCTCGTTCTTCATCACTTCTCCGCATATCTTCCCCTCCGCGCCCCCTCTCCAGCCTTCTCACCCTTGTAGGAAGCAACGTGATGGGTGGGCACGGGTGTCTGGTGGCGGTCACACCACAACGGTGGACAGCGTGGGCACCAACGGGATAGCCCACCATCACATGGGCTGCTCACGTACCCCGCTCTTATTCCGCCGTTGCTCTACCCATCCACTTCCCACTTTCCCTATCGCTCCCTTATCCGTCATCACGAGGGGTCGCCATGGGTTTGTGGTGACGGTCAACAGTGGAGGGCATGGCCACAGGCATCGTGCGAGACGACATGGGCTATGTCTGACGTTCCCTGCTCTTATTCCCCCTCATTCCCTCTCCCCATGGCCCCTTTCCCCCTTCCCTGCTCTTCCGTCCGCTTACTGATTCCCACCGTTTCCCTCCGAACCCCCCATGCCTCATCACCACAGGGATCGGTGACAACTGTAGGAATCTGGGCACGGGGATAGTGCGAGATGAAACGGGCTGCATGTCGTTCCCCACACTTATTCCTCTCTTTCCTCCGCCTACCAATTCCCTCCTCCCCCCCCGATTTCCTCCGCCTCGTCACCACCAGGGGTCGGCATGGGTTTGTGGTGGCGGTGACAACAGTGGAGAGTGTGGGCACGGGGATAGTGCGCGACGACACGGGCTACGTGACCTTCCCCGTGCGCTACCAGTGTGTCGTGTTCCGGCCGTTCAAAGGGGAGATTCTCGAAGGGGTGGTCACCACCGTCAATAAGGTACCACCACGGTCAAACCAGGTTATTCCAAGTCAACGTGAGTCAATGAGAGTAAAAAAGATAACTATTGAGCTGACTCATAGGTCATCCCGTGGTCTTCCGGTCCGGTCATTCAAACGAAAGAATCTCGAGGGAGTGACCGCCACATTAATAAGGTACCACCACGGTCAATGCAAGTCAACGCGAGTCAAATCTCGTAAATAATCTGGCCATTGAGTTGACGCACCCTGTGCGCCACCAGTGTGTGGTCTTCCAGCCGCTCAAAGAAGAGACTCTTGAGGTGGTGGTCACGACCATCAATAAGGTACCTACCACTGGCATGGTCAACGCAAGCCAATGAGAGTCAATAAGATGGTCACCCTGTGCGCCACCAGTGTGTGGTCTTCCAGCCGTTCATGGGGAATGTCTCCAAGGGAGTGGTCACGACCGTCAATAAGGCACGAGTGGCAGCAATAACGCAGGTCAACGCGAGTCAAGGTACTACCACGGCAACGCAGGGTCAGTCTCTGTTATCGCGTCCTACTCCATGCACCACTCACCACTTGCCAGGTATCACCACAACAACAAACCCATCCTCCCCACTTCCCTGCCCCACATCGCCCTTTTTTTAATTCGACTAATAATCCTCTGCCATGCAATGCATTGCGTCAGCAACCCATGCTCCCCCCTCCCCTGGCGCCACCCTCCTTCCATATCTGCAGATGGGCTTCTTTGCCGAAGCAGGCCCCGTGCAGATATTCGTGTCCAACCATGTGAGTTGCTATTATGCTGGTAACAGATGACCTGTTGATGAGGATCCTCAGAACTCGCGTGTGATGACATGACATGGCATGTGGTGCATGAATCCTGTGGGATGAGTTCGTTGTAGGCGCCTGCAACGAACATTGACTTGTCCTCAGGCGCTTAAAACATCGTGTGGGATGACTTATTTTGAGGTGGCTCACAGATTGTACGAGATTACGTCTGCTGATGCATGTATTTGGTGTAAACTTAGTTGTGCTAACATCACATGTTCACGTGTGCGTGTGCGTGTGTGTGCACGCGCACGCGCGCGCGCACTTTTGCGTTCGTGTATGTGTGTGGGTGGGATGTGCATGTGTGGTGCATGTGCATGTCTGGTGCATGTGCATGTGTGGTGCATGTGCGCGTGTCTCTCACTCTCTGTCCTCAGCTCATTCCTGACGACATGTCCTTCACACCGGGCGACATCAACAGCTACCAGACAGAAGACGGCACGGTGAGATGTGGTGCTATGTGGTTATATGCAGTAAGACACGGTGATAGGACGCCGTCATCAGTGCGGTGATGTGCAGTAATATGCGCAAACGGTGGATGGATGGAACGGTGAGACAGGATTGCCTTTTCATCATGAGTTGATCCTCTCTTTTTCTCCATCATTCCTACTCCCACACCACACCCCCCGTGACTCCAATTACTGCCTGCTCGGGCCTGTGTTTCTCTTCCCTGCTGTCGCTGCTGCCCTGCTGTCGCTGCCGCCCGGCTGTCGCCACTCAGGTGAAAATCCAGGCGGACAGTGAGGTGCGGCTGAAGATAGTGGGCACGCGGGTGGACGCCACAGAAATTGTGAGTCCGGGTGGCGGGGGGCGAGTTATGGCAGGGATTTAAGACGGCCGTACGATCCAGGCGGACAGGGAGAGGTGCGGGTGACGATGGTGGGCACACGGGTGGATGCAACAAGAGATTGTGAGTGTGAGGGTCATCATTGATAGTGATGAGATGGGTGCTGCTCAGATGGATGCGTCTGAAACAGTAGGCACAGGGGTATGAGCAACACCCATCCATGTGAGCAGCACCCATCCATGTGAGCAGCACCCATCCATGTGAGCAGCACCCATCCATGCGAGCAGCACCCATCCATGTGAGCAGCACCCATCCATGTGAGCAGCACCCATCCATGTGAGCAGCACCCATCCATGTGAGCAGCACCCATCCATGTGAGCAGCACCCATCCATGTGAGCAGCACCCATCCATGTGAGCAGCACCCATCCATGCGAGCAGCACCCTTCCCTGCGAGCAGCACCCATCCATGTGAGCAGCACCCATCCATGTGAGCAGCACCCATCCATGTGAGCAGCACCCATCCATGTGAGCAGCACCCTTCCATGTGAGCAACACCCATCCCTGTGAGCAGCACCCATCCATGTGAGCAGCACCCATCCATGTGAGCAGCACCCATCCATGTGAGCAGCACCCATCCATGCGAGCAGCACCCTTCCCTGCGAGCAGCACCCATCCATGTGAGCAGCACCCATCCATGTGAGCAGCACCCATCCATGTGAGCAGCACCCATCCATGTGAGCAGCACCCTTCCATGTGAGCAACACCCATCCCTGTGAGCAGCACCCATCCATGTGAGCAGCACCCATCCATGTGAGCAGCACCCATCCATGTGAGCAGCACCCATCCATGTGAGCAGCACCCATGTATGTGAGCAGCACCCATGTATGTGGCTGAGTCTGTGAGTCTGCAGGGGTGGGGCTTGAGGCATCGCAGTCGTTTCAAAATGGCATGTATTGGACGGACAGTGAGGTGTGGGTGCGAGGCAGGTGAGATTGCGAGTGGGATGCGGTTGTGGGTCGAGTGCGATTGCGAGTCTACATGCGATGGGTTTGTAGAAAGGGGGGAATTCTGAACGTCTTGTTGCACATGACGAGGAGTGAGTTTTGAGTTGACTTAACAAAGTCACCTTGAGTCGAGTGGATTGTGATTTTGCATGCGACGGGCACATAGAAAGGAGTGGATTTTGGATATCGTGGTACACGTGACACAAATTTGGTGAGTTAGGTGCTATGAGTTGACACAAGGGTGTTGAGTCAAGTGATATGCGTTGACACAACAGCATTGAGTCAAGCAGTGTGTCTTCAATCAACTGTTTCTATCTTAGCCGTTTTATGTGTTAAACGAATCTCAATCAGGTTTCGATCGAGCCTGTCAAGGATGTCAAGCACACATGCGCACGTGCACCGCCACCCTCTCCACCCACCACACACTCACACAGACATGGATGCGCACGCGCACACACACACACACACACACAAACACACACACACACACACACACACACACACATACACACACACACATGCATGCAAACAGGCACACACACACATGCGTGCAAATAGGCACGCACTCACACACACGTTTTTCCTTCCTTTACTAACTCCATCCGCCTGTTTCCCCTGTTTCCTTCCTCTTCTTTTCCCTTGTACAGTTCTGCATTGGGACCATCAAGGATGATTACCTTGGACTTGTCTCCGAAGGGGGCGCCCCAATTTAGGGTTTACTAAGAGAAACCAATCCGGTTGCAGTATACTAAGTCACCTCTCTTTCATGCAGCAAAATGGGGCACCTTGTTGTGCCCAGTGTTTCTTGAACCTGAAGTCAACTCGTGGGAGAGGGTGTAAATCCCCTGGATTGTAAATCTCTAGCATTTTCTTAGATTTTGTGTGAAAAGATATAATCAAATACGTGTATGTTCATTTATGGTACCGTCACGCACCAGATATGCTAACGTGTCCCCCTGGATAAAGCGCACCCTTTTAAAGCTCAAGGCCCAAAATTGCAAGCCGCGGCAATCAAGATTACTAATCTTGATCACCTCGGAAGTGGGTTACCCGATTGATTGACGCGGAAGTGTGAGCGACCACAACACTGGTCCTCAATTGCAACGATTGGCTGTGTGGTTCCGTGCGAAAGTTTGCAGCCTTGATTCAAACACCAGGTAGATTCACAATACTCACCTTGAAGCAACAACCCCACAATATGTATATTTTAAAAGCTGTAACGCTTTTCAAAATTATGTATTTTGAAAGCGAAGCTGTTTGTAATGTAGGAATGGGCAGCGTCGAACCGCGCTAATCGCTCGTTTTGGAGTACAAAACGTGGGCTGGAGGTCATTTCCCTCCACCCACGTCTCTCATTTTCAAACGGTTTAGCCAATTTTCCCACCCACCCCCCCCTCGGAAACAGGATAGCCTAGTTAGAATAAGCACACCAACGTAATGCTATTGCTTGGATTTCAATTGTCCTAAACCCATTTGAAATGAGACGATGCCAATTGTTACATGCAAGAAAGCAAGCTTTTTAAATTTGGGACTTTTGTTGTTCAACCTCAGAGGGAAGCCATCAGTGAAAGGGAAACATCAGGCTCGCGCCATCAAACCAAGATTACTAATGAGCCGCGAGTAGGCTCATTGCTTACTACCCCTCCGAAATGTGTCACGGAATAACAGGATAACCGTTCTACAACCATGTTTCATGAAATCGCGTAGACATCCACAAGGGCGCAGGAAGGTCTCAACAGTGACGACCGGGCCGCACAGCAAGGCCTTCTCGGCACCTCGCAACTGGCATAACTAGAAGTGGTCATAGATGTCGACCCCTATGGCAGGCATGACTCGCCTGCCCAGAAAGCGATGCGACCGTGCGGGAAAAGTGCTTTCTCATTGTAAACCATTTCCGTTCACATTCAGACCTGTCTCATCGTCCACCCCCTCTCAAGTCGTTTGCGTTCAGCTCGTCGCTGTCAGAATCTAAAGAGCAAGAATGAATGAACTAGCAACAAGATGGGTACAAGTAGGAAACACAAATTCGGTTGTACCCCATATGGGCTACCCTACTCTAGCCTACACAATAAGCAGCATATGCGTTTGACACACCCCCATAGGCAAAGTGGGGGAGAACAAGAGGTCACAAGACCAGTCAAGAAAAGCAAAGCAAGCTCAGGGTGGATCACAAAGTCACCACGCATTCTGAGCACAAGCAAATGGCCACAAGGCCAGTTCACATGCATAGTTATATATAAAGGAGAACAAGCAGTACAGTAATCACAACCCAGCAAGTGTAAGCATGCATGTATAAGTATATAGATCACAATGCAGGCAAAGTCAAGAAGTGAGCAAGTGAGGCAAAGTAGGCTCAAGGCCTAGAACAGTACAGAAACGCTGATGATCACAAGGCTGAAGTGCCTTGGTGAAGATATCAGCAGTGTTGGCCTGAGAGGCCACGTAAACAAGACGAAGCTGACCACACTGCTGCAACTATCGAACAAGGAAGTAACGCAGAGCGATGTGCTTCGTTCTGTGCTCCAGTCTATGCTCCTGACGCAAGGCAATCATGGCCTTGTTGTTGACGTACAGAACTGGAGGAGAACGAGGCGGCTCTCTGAAGTCGGTTAGCAGGTAACTGAGCCAGCGTAACTCCTGAGAAACCATGGCCCCTGCGTAGATCTCAGCCTCACAAAGCCAAGTCGTCAACCCAAGAAGCGTCTGCGTGACCAGTGAGGACAACTCGAGCCCGTCCTCCAAGCACGAGCCCTATGCCCGACGTACTACACAAGTAGCGCATCACCCTCTTAGCGGCTTTCCAGTGCTCTGGTCGGTGTCACCCGGGCGCAACGTAGCGTGCCAGGATGCTAAGAAGGTAAGCAAGGTCAGGTCGAGTGCAGGTCATCAGGTACATGAGGTAGCCCACAAGCCCTGGATACGAGCCACTCGGCTCTACGGACTCGTCCGAAGGTGCAGCTGAGAGTAATTGATCGGTAGGCAGAGGAGTGGACTGTGGCGAGGAGTACTGGAAGTCGAAGCCCTGAAGGACCTACTGCACCATGTGTGACTGAGTCAAGGTAATGGTGCGCTGTGCTCTGTCCCGGGTGATCTGCAAGCCAAGATAGCTGCGCAACTCACCCAGGTCTGTGCACGTGTGTCTCTTCTGCAGCTCCGACTTCACGTGGGCCAGTCCAGCAGTGTCAGCAGTGGCAAAGACCAAGTCGTCGACGTACACGAGGATGTAGAATGGCGGCAGCGAAGTGTCGGTGCGTAGAAACAGCGACGGGTCAGCAGTCGAAGGAGCAAACCCAAGAGCCGCAAGCGTCGTCCTCAGTACTCGCGAGGCGCCTGGTGGAGACCGTAGACTGGCCGCCGGAGGCTCCACTGGGTACCTGCAGGAAGCGACGCAGTGAAGCCAAGTGGGCGGCGTAGCCAGATCTCCTCATGTAGGCTGCCCTGTAGGAAAGCAGTGCTGAAGTCAAGAGAGTGAAGCTCGTAGTGACGCTGAGCGGCGACGTGCATCAGCACCCGAAGAGTGGTCATCTTAAGGGTAGGGGAGAAGGTCTGGAAGAAGTCAACTCCCTGTCGCTGACTGAAGCCTCGTGCAACGTAACGCGCCTTGAAGACAGGCGGAGAACCCGGCGGCCGCTTCACCCTGAAAATCCACATGCCACTCACGATGTTCGCCCCAGGTGGGGGAACCTCGTTGACGTAAGTGCCTGTGGACTTCCAGGATGCCATCTCTGCGTCCATGGCTGACTGCCACTGAGAGGATTAGGGACCCTCAATCGCCTCTACGTAAGAGCGCGGGGTCGGGATGTCTGGTGCATCCGGGTCTCCCTCAGGTGCAATCAGCATGGATACGAGATGAGGTACAGCAGCTGCAAAACACTCAAAGTCCTCCTGCCTGTCCTCAAGGACGTCCGTGCCAAGAGCAAACTCACCCCCGACGGACTGAGGACAGACAGACTCAGACTCAGCAACAAGACAAGTGGCGTAGTCTAGACGATAGGCGGCAGGAATGTTAACAAGCTCAGCAGCTAAGGGAGACGCAGCAGTGGACTCAAACGAAGGGTCAGTGACAACAGTGGCCAGAAGACGTGTGACAGTAGGACTAGCTGCACAAAGTAAGTCAGACTCAGGGTCCGGTCCGTCAGCAAGAGAGGACGAAGGAGGAGACGGCAGAGGGACACGTAGTGGAACAGAGGAAGGACGAAGTGCCATCTGGTGCGCGCCGGGGACAGGAGGAACACGACGACCGGTGCAAATAGCGCGAACAGGCGAGGCAGGACGAGACGCAGGCTCACGACGCTCTGTAAACGAGTCTGTCTGCTTAGAGTAAGGAGAAGGAGCAGGCAGTGGGGAGCCTGGCTATTACAAGAGGCTAGTAGAAGACGGGAGGCTAAGAACCTGGCGAAGCACCGAGTGGTGGTAGAGACGACGGGGACGGCGGAGCGAAGAACAGTCGCCGCTGTGTAGTACCACCAGCACCAGGATCACCAGCTCCAGCACCTCCAGTACGAGTACCAGCAGCCCCAGCGCCTCCAGCAGCTCCAGAACCTACAGCTCCAGCGCCTCTAGCTCCAGCGCCTCCAGCCCCAGCGCCTCCAGCTCCAGTGGCTCCAGCTCCAGAGCCCACAACACCAGCAGCTCCAGTACCTCCAGCACCAGCAGCACCACCAACTCCAGCAGCTCCAGTACCTCCAGTACGAGCACCTCCGGGACAAGCAGTTCCAGCACTAGCAGCACCTCCAGCTCCAGCAGCTCTAGTACCTCCAGTACTAGCACCTCCAAGACCAGCAGCTCCAGCTCCAGTGCCGCCAGTCCCAGCGCCTCCAACTCCAAGGTCTCTAGGACTAGTAGCTCCAGCAACCCCCGTACGAGCACCTCCAGGACTGGTAGTGCCAGCACCACCAGCAACTCCAGCACCAACAGCACCACCAGCCCCGGCAGCTCCAGTACCTCCAGTACAAGCACCTCTACGACCAGCAGTGCCAGCTCCTCCGGTACCTCCACCTCCAACGGCTCCATCCGCAGTGCCTCCAGCTCCAGCAGCGCCACTCCGAAGGCGGCAGCGCTGAGCGTACCACTAGCGTAGCTGCTGCGGCGAGAGAGTACCTCCAGAACCTCCAGTACGAGCACCTCCAGGACTAGTAGTGGCAGCACCACTAGCACCAACAGCACCACCAGCTCCGGCAGCTCCAGTACCTCATGTAGGAGCAGCTCCAAGGCCTCCCTCTCCAGCAGCGACACTCCGAAGGCGGAGCTGCTGAGCGTACTACTCGCGCGGCTGCTGCGGTGAGAGAGGCTCCCGTAGTGGAGAAGCAGTACCCCTAGGCGCAACATCCCCAGACTCAGCAACACTAGGCTCCGCACCCGCAAGCTCAGCTCCCCCAGGCTTCGCACGCTGAGGCTCAGCACCCCCAGGCTCCACATTCTCAGGCTCAGCACCCCCAGGCTCCACATTCTCAGGCTCAGCACCCGCAGGCTCAGCACCTCCAGGCTCCGCACGCTCAGCACCCCCAGGCTCCGCACCCGCAGGCTCAGCACCCCCAGCAGCACCTGAGTTACTAGTGACCTCGACAGGCTCAACCAAGGGGAGTGGGTCTACCTGAGACACACCTAGGGGGGGAGGGGGTCTATCGGAGGGGGACCTGGAGCGAGGAAGAGCGGCGGAGGGGGGAGAGGGGCAGTGCGGTAGGGGAAGAGACGGTAAAAAGGGACCGAATCG